GACGACAATGGTGGTGAAGACAACAACTCCCATGATCCCACGCTGCTTCACCACCTCATCACACTTCATATTTTGTTATTGCTTGGATGTGAGAGACCCCCTAGTGGCAGAAATTACATTTTGTACCTTTAAAGAAAGCTATTATCGTTGTTTCTCATAGAGACAGCAACCAGGCACAAGAGACACAGAATATGATAGTGTACCAGTCAGACTGGTCTGCAGAAGGTTTCCAGACTTTTGTATCGCCTTGCTAACTGGCAAACAAAGCAACACATAAGATTTTCTTCCATAGCAACACAACACAGACTCGACAAGTGCAGTTATTATCTCTGAGGCCGGACAATGGTGAACATTAAGCAGCATTGTTCTGAGCTCACACAGCAGCAACTTGATTTCTCTGCACGCAACCCAGTGTCCTCCAGACAATATTTTCTTCATAAAATATGATCCAGTTTCCCCCAAATCATTCAAAACTGTGTTTGTGTACAGTAATCAGTCAGCTCCAGTAGCTAGCCATGCTGTTATTAGTATTTTTAGTTGAAATTGGTTGGTTCACACTTCTGTAAGCTATTGGATTTTGATATAAAAACACAAAAAAATATTTTTTTTAATAAGGCTTTTGGCATACATTGTTGAATAAAGGTACAATATGACTGAGAGTGTGATCTTAAAGGCTAGAAAGACTTTTTTTATTTTATCTCAACTATAAATTGAGACTCAAGTAGTTTGCACCTACCTCAGAGCTCCCCGTAGTGAGGAAGAGCTTCCTCTGAGCCACAGTTGAGGTCGCTACGTCCACAAAGGAGGAATGACTGGACGCCAGATTCTGGGGAGAATGACATATAGAAGAGAGAGAAAGACAGATATAAAGTACAGAGAGACAGGAAGGAAAAGGTGAGCAAAGTGCAGATATTGAGGAGAGAAAGAAGTGAAGACGAGAGGGACAGAAATCAGACAAAAAGACAATGAGAACATAGAGTCATATCAATTAAAATGTATAGTTTATGTGAGAGCAGTTACCTGTTTCACATTCTGATAGAAGAAAATCAGCTTCTTGGATCCATTTGCAGCAAAGAAATCATCGATCAGACTGAACTGGAAGAATCAGACAAAGATTGAGCCCTGCCTGAAGGAGAACAGAGGTTATTTCTGTCAGTCTGTAGTTTTACAGCCAGACTGTGACTTTACCTTGTCATCAGAGATCAGGGCATCCTCCACCTCCGGCTCCCCCAGGATCCCGGCGTCCACCAACCTGCTGATCAAGTATTTGTGTCGGGCGTCCAGCGTCGCTCGTCTCTCCTCCTTCATGGCTCTTGCCTGCTTCGCTATTTCTCTTCTCGCCTCATTGGACAACAGCACTGTCCTTTTACCAGACACCTGGACAGAAATCAGTCGTACACACAGTAGTGTCCAATTTCTGTTTGTGGACATGTTTGTATAAGCAAAATACAGTGTAATGACTTTTTATCAACTGCTAATGATGTTTCTTTTTGGATCTTGTTGTACTGAAACGTGGTTGTAGCATACGGCCAGTCAGTGTTACGTCAGCCGTAAAGAAGAGAGACTTGTTCAGGTGTAAAAGTGGCGGTTGATGATAATAAA